TTTCTTTCTTTCTTTCTTTCTTTCTTTCTTTCTTTCTTTCTTTCTTTCTTTCTTTCTTTCTTTCTTTCTTTCTTTCTTTCTCTTTCTTCCTTCCTTCCTTCTTTTCTTTCTTTCTTTCTTTCCTTTCTTCCTTTCCTCTTCCTCCTTCCCTCCTTCCTTCCTTCTGCCAGATTGTTTCTTAAATGCAGATTTTAATAAAGTGTGTGTGTGTGTGTGTGTGTGTGTGTGTGTGTGTGTGTGTGAAGAGAGTTAGAACAAGAGGGCCCTGGATCCTAAAGTGGTGGTGGGGTGGTTGTTATTTTTGTAGTTTATCCTTCATTTTCAAAGAGGACCAATGATATCACAGGTGATGTCTTGACTTGCTCGTAAATTCAATTTAATTGGATTTAATTGAGGCAGAGTTGTGCGAAGTCATCAGCCTGTCTCTTCCTGAATCACTGAAGTCCACACTGAAGTCCAGTGGCACGACAAAAGTTAAGACAACTGGCAATAGCCCCGGATGCAGTGGATGGCAGAGGAGAAAGGGCAAGGAGGTACCTGTACCTTTCCACCCATGGCACCTGCTTGCACTCCCTTGCAACCAGAGTTCATCAGTCAGGGCTCATTCCTCACACACTGTCCAAGATACTTATCATGTGCTCTCCATCCTCCCCCTCTTCCCCTCTCCAAGAAATAAGGCCAGTCCAGACCTTTGCATAAGTAGACTCTTTTTATTCATTCTATAATACACAATAGCATCGTCCAGAAAAGAATAGGAACAGGTGGGGCCCTGGGGCAAGACAAGTCCCAATCCTCCCTCCCCAAACCTCCCTCCCTCATAAATGTAGTGTCATTATTTATGATGCAATTTGTAATGCACTTGTAGCTCTGGAGACCGTTCCACTGGGTGTCCTGGGTAACTGCCCCTTGTCTGTTTCATTCTCTAACCCCTCCCCACCACCAGCTTTAAGGTTCTGCTGTCAGCATCAGATGCTCATACTCAGATTAAAACTCTTGGCCAGTTTGGGGTTACCCATGCTACTCCTGTGATCGAGATGCTTAGGTTCAGCGGAACCAGACTTCAAATCTGAAAATTCTCTGAATTCTCCAAATGGCACTTCCCTTTTCCCCTCTACATTTCTCATTCCCTCCAGTCAGACATACACCAAATGGGGGTGACAGTCAAATTTGCAAGAGCTCTCTCCCAACCACTCATCCTTCACAGGATTCTCACGACATCCCTCTGAGGTGAAATGGGTAGGAAACTTGTTATTATCAATGATCCCGATGTTCCTTCCAACTTTAAATCCCGTGATTCTAAGAGTCCTATTTTATAGCTGAAGAAACTGGGGACAAGAGAGATTTGGTGACTTGGCTGGTGTCACACAGAATGTAACTGGTTGGTGAGTTTCTATCCCCCTCACATCAAACTTATGGAAGATTTAGGATTAGAACCCTGGTCTCCCAGTCACCTGCTCTTTCCATCACACTATGATATGGAAACAGTAGTGTGGTCCCGTAGTAGAGAGAAAGCTGAGCTGGGAGTCAGGAGGACCTGGGCTCCAATTCTTCTTTGAACGGCATCACCCTGTCACTGACCCTCTCCCAGTTCTCCAACCAACATTCCAAGACTATAAGTTGCTGAATAGTTAATGGCCTACATGTTAAAGGAAGGAAACAAGAATTTATTAAGCACCTGCTATGTGCCAGGTACTGTGCTAAATGTTTTACAATAATTATCTCGTTTAATCCTCACAGCAATCCTGTGAGGTAGGCATTATTATTATTCCCATTTTATAGTTGATGAAACGGAGGCTAAGTGATTTACCTAGGGTCACAAAGCTATTAAGTGACCGGGACTAGATTTGGATTGAAGTCATCAAACTCTAAGGCCTCTATCCACTGAGACATCTAGCTGCCTTTTAAGATGTGCAAAATGCTTTACATCTGTATCTCACTTGATCCTCATCAGAAACCTATGAGATACGTGCTATTAGTTCCCCCATTTTACAGATGAGGAAACTGAGGCAAAAAGATATTAAGTGACTTGCCCAAGGTCATATAGCTAGGGAGTGTCTGAAGCAGGATTTGAATTCAGGTCTTCCTGATTCCAGGTCCACCTTTCTATCTATGGTACAACCTAGCTCCACACCCTGGCATTCAAGGCTATTCTTGTAAAATGGTCTAGCCCGGCATCCTAGGCTACTCACACTCTCACCAGGCACTCACACCACCACCAAGCTAGTTTAGGCCATCAACTCTTAGGCCTAAACTATTTTGACAGCCTCCTGATTGGTCTCCCTGACCCCAAGTTCTCTTCTGCCTAGTTCATCTTCCTGTCAAATTGATATTAATAAGGCACAGGCCTGACCATTTCATTCATTCACCAAAGAAGCTCCAGTGGTAACCTATGGCCTCTAGGATGAAAAATAAACTCCTCTGTTTGGCATTTAAAGCCATTTTCAATGTGGCTTCAGCTGCCTTTCCAATCTTATTACACATTACTCCCCTTCACAGACTTGACGTTGCAACCAAACTGATGTACTATACACCATGCTCATCTCTTACTGCCATGTCTTTGGATAGGCTGTACACCTATGCCTAGAACGTGTTCCCTCTTCACTTTTGTCTCTTGAATTTCTTCAGAGCTCAGCTTGAGAGATGCCTCTTTTATCAGACCTTTCCTGATCTCTCCTAGCTAGATGACTCTCAATATTACTTTCACCACTTCCTTCACTCCTATTCATGTGCTGTTGAATAGAGCTGGAGGAAATCACAAAACTGTGTTGATTGGTTCCATTAAAAATTTGTTACCTAATATTAATCGAACCTTCACAGCACCATTCTATTCCTCCATAATTTATATTTGCGGGTCTACTCTGCTGTTCAAAAGCTCCCATGGCATCTACCTTCCTTCATCCCCTCAGCTGAGGACCTTGCTTCATACTTCACCAAAAAAAAAAAGAAATCAATCACAAGAAGAATCCCTCTTCTTCCATACTACTCACATCCTATCATTCAGACATTTTCCCCCTTTATCTTTTCATTCACACTGGTCTCTGATAAAGGGTCACTACCATTCTCCTTGCCTAGGTCAGTCGTTCTACATGTGCCCTTGATCTCATCCCCTTCTGACTTCTCCAGCAGTTGGCTCTTACTATCCTCCCTACTCTCTCTTATCAGTCTCTCCCTTTCCCCTGGCTCCTTCCCTACTGCCTACTAACATATTCATATCCTCTTTGTCTTTAAGAAACCTTTGCCTGTTCCTGTCATCCTTCAGAGTTATCATCTGAAATTTCTTTTTCCTTTCTCAGGTAAACTCCTTGAAAAAGTCATCTACAATCAGTGTTTCTACTCCCTTTCCTCTCATTCTCTTCTGAATCCTCTGCAATTTGGCCTCATCATATATATGAAAGTGCTCTCTCCAAAGACACTAGTCGTCTTTTAATTGCCAAATCTAATGGACTTTTTCTCAGTCCTCATCCGTCTTCTTGATCTCTTTGTAGCATTTCAAACGGTTGATCACCTTCTCTTCCTGGCTCCTCTTTCCTCATGACCTTGCTCTCACCTCCTCTTATCTACCTGATTGCTTCTTCTCAGTCTCCTTTGCTCATTCTTCACTTGTTTTACACCTTCTAAATTTAGTGTCCCCAAAGGCTCTGCTATGGGTTCCCCTCTCTTACTCTATACTGTCTTGCTTATTGGGCTCATTAGCTCCCATGGATTCCATTAACATCTCTAAGGAGATAGCTCCAAGATCTAGCCCTCACCTCTTTCCTCAGCTACAGTAACAAACTAATTCTTGGACATTTCCAACTGAATGTTCCAGTGACATCTCAAATTCAGAGCTTCCAAAATATATCCTTCCCTCCAAACCCTCTCCTCTTCTAAACTTTCCTATTACTTCCCAAAAAGAGTAATATATAATAAACCTATAAAATAGGCTGGAACCAGTCGCTCAAGCTTGTAACCTAGGTGCTATCCTCAACTCATCATTCTTGCTCACATTACCAGTACTCCAAGGCTCAGCTTAATGTTGTCTCCTCTATGAAGCCTCCCCTGATTCCCCTAGCTGAAAATGTTCTCTCCCTCTCTGAAGCTCCCTTCAATTTCATAGTATCATAGGATGATAGATTTAGAGCTGTAGTGTCAGACTATGTAGTCCAGCTCTCCCACTACCACCATTTTACAGATGAGGAACCTCCTTTGTTCATAGTCACAAAGCTAGTTTCAGAGATGATGTTGGGACCCATGTGTCCATAACTCTAACTCTCTCTCTCTCTCTCTTTCTCTCTCCCTTCCCTTCCTCCCTCCTTCCCTTCCATTATCCCCTCTCCACTATACCAGATGCCCATAGACCTTTACAACTCCATCATGGCACCTAGAATATCATACCATGCATTGTAATGAATGTCTTATCTTCCCCACTGGATCCTGAGCTCCTTCAGTATAATAATAATAATAATAATAATAATAATAACAATAACAACAATAATAATAATAACCATTGCTATAGATCATTAAAGTTTACAAAGTGCTTTCTTCACAACAACCCTGTGAAGTAGGTAGTGCAAGTATTTTTCTCCCCATTTGACAGATGAGGAAACTGAGGCTCAGAGAAGAGAAATTACTTCCCCAGGATCACATAGCTTACTAGTTAGGACCCTAGGTCCTCTGACTCTGGGACTACAGAGTCACTATACTACCGCTGGCTTTCTGTATGCCTCTCCTCATTTTTTCATCCTCCAGAAGGGCTCTGCCTAGCACACAGAGGGCACACAGAGGTGTCTGTTGAAATGAGCTGGAGGATTCGCCAGGCTGAGTCACTATTCCTTTCCATCAGGAAATTCTCCCAGAGATCTGACTTGATGCCCACATCAGTACATTCTCCATTTCAATAAGAAGTGACTAATTGATCAATTAATAGTTTTAAAAGGCATGGGAGCCTTTTGTCTTATTCTCATGGCTTCCACCGGGTCCATGAAGCATTAGCCTGTGGTTTTAAGAAAGCATCTTCCCATCTCCTACTGGCTCCAACTGTTTCTTGTACGGCAACTCGAAGGAACAGAAAGGGTTGGGCTTCAATCTGGACTAAGGAAGGACATACTTTCCCTATACTGTGAAAAGAAAATGGACATTTTGAGATACAGGTCTTAACCTTTCAAGACCCTTCAGGATCTGATTGGCCCCACTCGGGGGTGGCTAGTGATACATTTAAGTAGTAGGCCATAGGACCAAGGCTAGGTAGAGAGGCAGGAGAGGCCAGACTAGGAAAATTCGAATGAGTAAATGAATGAATGAATGAATGCTGGGCATATCCAAGGTACTGACTGAGTAAATAAGTGGTTAACGAAGCTAGAAGACAGAACCCAGGCCAGTAAGACAAGCTTTTTTTTTTTTTTAGCATTCTTTCACCAGCTGGAATCAATTTACAGGCTACAGGAGGGTTGTGGTCCTCCTTTCCCAATTCTCTAGATGAAGACACTGGTGCAAGGGGAAGGGGCATGTCTGAGGTCACAAGATCACCCTGTGAAGCCAGGTCTGCACTACCTCAAAGTCCAAATGAAATGGAAGGAGCCTGAGAATGACAGATATGTGACCTTGGGCGAATCGTTTAACTTCTCTGAAACTCAATTTGCCAACCAGCTAAATGGGGATAATAATGTTTGTTTTTGTTGTTCAATCATGCCTCACTCTTCATGACCTTGTCCATGGGGTTTTCTTGGCAAAGATACTGCAGTGGCTTTCCACTTCCTTCTCCAGTATGTCCCCATTTTACAGATGAGGAACTGAGGCAAATATGGGTTAAGTGACTCACCCAGAGTCACACAGGTAGTAAGGAAGTGTCTGAGGCTGGATTTGAACTCAGATCTTCTTGGCTCAGATCTTCCAACCATATAGTTACCGTCTATAATATTTATAAATGATCAAATAAAATAATGTATGAAAAATTCTTTGTGAAGTTTTTAAATTGTGATACAAATGTCAGCTTCTAACAAAATGTCAGCAAAAATTTTTTTTTCCGTTGGTGTTATGAGGGATATAAAGATGATTACATTTGACTCTGAATAGCTTTTTCAGACTTTTCTCATACTATTCCCCTTCATGTACTCTACATTACAGTCACTCTAGACTATTCTCAATCTCTTTTTCTTCGTCTGTCTTTTCTGTCCCTGGGCCTCTGCTATTCCAAACTGCCCAGTTCCTCCATGCGTCTGCTTACTGAGATCTATCCCATCTTTAAAGATCCAACTCAAGGGTTCCCTTTGGCAAAAGCCTTCCCTGCCCTCCCCTAGGCTGAAATGATCTCTCCCTCCTCATATTCCTCATAACACATTGTCTCTACCTCTCCTTTGCATCTTTCCTATTTTGCTTGTATCAGTGGAGTCTTATGGCCACTTATTAGAGGATAAATTCCTCAAGGTCAGGACCTGTACCTTATTTCATCTTTATATCTCCCCCCAGGGCCTAACACAGAGTGTTGAACTTGAATTGAATTGAATTATAGGGGATTACAGCCCAAAGGCACATAACTAAAATATTCATTCATTCATTCATTCAGTCAGTCATACTATACAAAATACTTTCATGTTCATTATGTTGTTTGATTTTTCTGAGTAACTCTGTGAGGTAGACAGAGAAGGGATTATTCCACTCTTACAGGTATGGAAACCGAGGCTCAGTTAAATGATTTAACCAAGGTCTAGAATCCAACTCTTTTGATTCTGACTTGAATGTTTCGTCCACCATTCTATGGTGATATCTTATACCCCCATAGAAACTGAGAGGAAAAACTAGAGAAGGGAGTGATTTGCATGGGTCAGAATCATAAGTGAAAGGTTGGTGAAAGAGCTAGAAACAGCTGTGCTGTGAGCATTGGGTAGGATTTGGATGAACAGAGAGCCAGAAGAGGGAGGACCTGCTTTTGGGGACAGGTCTCCTTTAAAAGCATAGATTATCTTCTCATGCCATACAAAAGCTCCTGGATACTCCGTGTCATCCACTTCCCCTTGCTCCCACTTACCTGTTCATTATTGCAATGTATATGACCAAATGTGTGTGCAACACTGTGGTCTCTCCAGCCCATGATTCGGTGGACAGCATGGTTAGTGTTGCCTGCAAATTTGCTGGTCAAATGATAGCATCTCTCTACTTGACTCCTCTCTGGCTCCTTCTGGTTCTCTTCCTGATTTCCCAGAACATCTGCCAAGGTTTGGATGGAGGTAAAGGAGAGGCTGTCCCAGGCTGCCCTAAAATTCGGGTCTTCTTTGATCTAGAATGCAGAAACAAAGGACAACATTATGGAAGGCAGCCCATCATTGAGAGGCAAGCACAGGATTTTGAGTCAGAACACCTGAGTTCAAATCCTACCTAGCTCTGCTCCTTTTATCTTGGAAAAATCATTTCCTTTCTCAGTGGGGCTCAGTTTCCTCCTCTATAAGATTTGCCTGACACATAGCAACTGCTTAATAAATATTTGCTCCTTTATTAATGAGGAAGTTGGGATAGATGAGGGGACTGTGGTAGATAAGGAATTCTTAAACAGAGGTCAGTGAACTTATTTTTTAAAATATTTTGATAACTGTATTTGAATATAATTGGTTTCCTTTGTAATCCTATGTATTTTATTTTATCCACTTAAAAATTTTTTTCTGAGAAGAGATCCATAGATTTTACCAGACTCTCAAAGGGGGTCCATGACACAAAAAAAAGGTGAAGAACGTCTAATCTCTAAGATCTCTTTCACTTCTAGATGCAATGTTCTGTTCTATACAAACCCTATGTTCTAGCTGGGCTGGCGGACTAAATATACCCTGGACACATCACATCAATTTCTGTCTTAGATCTTAACATTTCACTGGCCTGGACTGTCTTCTCTGTTTTAAGAGAAAGCCTGAGTTTCTCAACATATTCCTGGCATGAATTTTTTTTAGGATTTCCAAGATGTGACACCCAGAAAATGAAAGCAGAAACAGGCTATGAGATGCACTGGATAGAGAAGCCAAGATCAGCAAATTCATGAACCTATGAGGAAGAAAAGAGGAAGCAAGACAGAGAGAACAGACCTCAGAATCAGCAAGACGTGAATTCAAAGCTAACCTCTGACTGATAATGACTTTATGGCCCTACGTATGACATTGAACTTCTCTGGGCTCTAAGACTATACGTTGCAGAACAGGTGTCAACTTGGGTTGGTAGAAGGAGTTTCTGTCTGAGAAGGTCAAAGGGAGAGAGAGTGAGTGAGACAGACAGAGACAGAGAGGGGAGAGAGACAGAGACAGAGACACAGAGAGACACAAAGAGAAAGAAATAGAGAGAAACAGAGACAGAGAGATAGAGAAGACAAAGACAGAGAGAAACAGAGACAGACAGAGACAGAAGACAGAAACAGAAAGAAATAGAGATAAACAGAGGGAGAGAGAGACACACACACAGAGACGCACACACACACATACACACTGTAAGAGACAGACAGAGAAAGGGATAGAGACAGAGAGAGAGAGAGATCATGCATAGTGGATAGAAGGCTGAATTAGGAAGACCTGAGTTCAAGTCTTGCCTCTGACACATACTACCTGTGTGCCCATGGGTGAATCTCTTAACTCCTCTGGCAATTCTAGGCAATTTTCTCTCTCTAAACTGTAAGTTACAGACAAGTTGTCAATCTACATTCTTAGAAAGAAGAGTTGCCACAGCAGAAGTTCTCCACATCAGTGAAATCACAGATCCAGACCAAAAAACAAATAACAAAATCACCAATGTAGGGCTTTTTTTTAAATGCATGTTGGGCACATACAAAGAAGAAGTGGAAAGAAAGAGACAGAAGTAGGCAGGCAGGGTGACTTGGCAAGCAAAATAATCCACCAGTAATGCATTCTGAAGGAAGTCAAACAACTCTGAATTTGTTTCTGTTCACCAAATGACCAGCTCTTTCATTCTCCATCCTGTGTAGAAAGTGGGAAGCCTTTCCCAGTCCCTTCAGCAGCTAGAGCCTTCCCTCCTAAGGCTACTTTCCATCTAGTCTAAATGAATCTGGTATGTATCCACATAGCCTCCCTCATTAGCATATAAGCTCCTTGAGGGCATAGATGTTTTTTGCCTTTGTATCCCAGCTCAAAGCAGTGTCTAGCATATAGTAGGTGTTCAATAAATAACTGTTGAGTGATAAATACATCATCACAAAAGGACAAAATAACAGAGCCAGTGCTGGAAGAGATCTTAGAAATCAAATTGCTCGTTCTTGACTTATCAACCAACCAAAAAAAGCCAAAAGCTTACCTGCTCAATCCTATGCCTAGCCCTAGAGGTGGGATGAGAGCAAGGCAAGATAAACAGTTGCTTAGAGTGCAACACCCATAGGGTGCAAGGAAGGATGCTTTGCAGAATTATACTGAAATTTAATATTTTACTTGGATACATGTTGGTGCCAACAAATGCTGCTTTCCATAGCACATACTTATGTTCAATCAAGTTGTATATGCTATAGTGAAGGTTCAGAGCCTCCATTGTTGAGTAATGCAGGGGGGGTCAAACCTCCCAAAGGCACACAATTGATTGTGCAGGCTCTGATTTGCTCTATGGGGGAATCCAGAAAAGGGAAAAAACTAATTACTAGGAATTTACACATATAACTGGGGAAACACAGTCTACTCTCAATGAGAGACTGAGATATTTGGATTGTTAGAGCTGGAAGGGGCCTTAGAGACAATTTAGTCCAATCCCCTCATTTTACAGAAGAGGAAACTGAGTCCAGGTGGAGGAGGTGATGATAGTCGTACAATGAGTAGCAAAGCCAAGACTAGAACTCAGGTCTCCTGATTCCCAGGTCACTGCTCTTTCTGCCACACTTGACTACCTTCCATATGGAATGATAAAAGAAAACTTAAGTGGCATGTTACCACTAATTTAATAATAATAACAACAGAACCCATGTATACAGCACTTTAGGGTTTTTTATATGCTAAATGGTAGCATACATGCTTTGAGCTTTGAGATGGGAGAGAACACTATGGGCTGGGGGCTATCCCAGGCATCCTGGTGTAGTATATATAGAGAGCACTGAACTTGGAGTCAGGAGGACATGAGTTTGAATCCTGCTTCTGATACCTAACTAGCTGTATGATCTTGGGCAACTCACTTAGTCTTTGTTTGCTTCAGTTAGCTCAGGTGTAAGATGCAGAGATAAGACTTAATGACCTCTAAGATTCTTTCCAGCTCTAAATCTGTGATCCTGTAAGAAGATTTCATGAAAAAAGTAGGGTCCGAGCTGGGTTCTGAGAGCAGAATTGGCTTTGGATAAGCAGAGTTTTTAGGGCAATGAAGCTAACTGGGGATACGCTTTTCACCTTTTCATTGTACTTGTCACCTTGCTCTTTGAGAAGAGCAACTATCTTCTGGATAATAATGTCATCTAAAGGAAAAGAAGAGAGATAGGTTACTTTTTAGTGTCCAAAAATGCTCCTTAAACGACAATATTGTTTTCAGATCTGCCACTCTTGACTTTCAACCTAATTCAACTATCTCAGGAGGGAAGTCAGCACTTTCACCAGGCAGAACACTGGGGGAGAAGGGGACTTGGTAGGGGGAGGGAAGGCTGTAACTAAGCTGATTAGGCAGCCTGGCAATTCTGTCCACTGACCAAGTGAGTGTGCGCACCGTTCCCCCAAGTAATTTTCTGAAATAAATGGAATTCTTCCTGCTCCAGGGTCTCCAGAAGAACAAGACAGAGAGCAGCATACTGGAAGGAAAAGGGCCCTGGATTGGGAGTCAGAACTGAGTTTTGGTCCCAGCTCTGCCACCAACCCACCAACTGTGCAGCCTTGGGCAAATTACTTTATGTCTCTGGGCTTCAGTTTCATAGGGTCACAGATCTGGAGCTGGGAGGGACCTTGGAAGCTGTCAAATCCAACCCCCTCATTTTAGAGATGAGGAAAGAGATGAAATGACTTGCCCAGGGTTACCAAGGTAGAGATCATCAGAGGTAAGATTGAAACCTAGGTCCTCTGACTCCAGAGACTGTACCAATGGCTTCATCCTTAAAATAAGGGAGTTGCTTTCCAAGGTCTCTTATAACTAACTCTACAATCCTATTTATGGTTACAGTCTGCAATGTTTTATAAATCCTGCCCAGGGGAGTTGACCTAAAGATCAATTCTAACATTCTATGAGACCAAGAGTGGGGAAAAAATGCTTCCTCACCCCAGGGTCTCAGAGCAAAAGTCCACCCAAGACCTTGGTTAAAGTCATGCTCACTAGATTCAGAACCTCTCTTAAGAGGTGGCTCCTCCTTTGGTGGGGGCGGCCCAACTTGGCTGGAAAGTCCAGTAGACTCAGGAGTCCTGACTTCTGTAAACAGCCTCTCATGTACTTCCTCATCATCTGAGTCTGGAAACAGAAAGAAACAAATGTGTTATAAATCCGTATGTGCTTAATGGCCAGTCTGGAACTGAGGGCAGAGTGGTAGAATGAGTCTTCTGGCTGGTTCTGGGTCTTGCCAATATGTCACACGAAGACATTAACATGAGAGGAGATATGGTGTATAAGTCAACAAGTCAATCAGTCAGCAAACATTCATTAAGCTCTTGCTGTGTGCCAGGCACTGTGTTAAACAATGGGAATACAAGGAAAAGCAAACAAACAAAAATAATCCCCATTCTCAAGGAGCATACATGCTAAAAGGAGAGACAACATATAGTCATCCATCATCATCATCATCATCATCATCATCATCATCATCATCATCATCATCATTGTATCCTTCATTTTTGTATCACTCTAAGATGTATAAAGTGCTTGGAGATCCATCCTATCTCACTTGATGATCTCCACAATTGCCCTCTTAAGGTAGGTAGATGGGGCTTGCACTCCCATTCAACAAATGGGGAAACCAAGGCTCAAAGAGCCTAGGTGGTTTGCCCAAAGGCACACAGTTGGAAAGTGGCAAAACTCAGGTTTCCTGGTTGTTGGTACAGTAGATAGGGTTCAGATCTCAGTCCTGATATTTTTCCAGTTGTGTGATTTTGGACAAGTTGTTTGGTTCAAGCAAGAAGTCTTTCCTGGTCTTCCCAGGCTTCTAGTGCCTTCACCTCTTAGATTATCTCCCATCTACTTTGCATATTTCTTCTATATACCTGGTTACTTACACGTGGTCTCTTCCATTAGAATGTAAGCTCCTTGAGGACAGGGACTGTTTTTGCTTTTCTTTGTATCTACAGTGGTTAATGTGGTAATGGGAACACAGTGCTCAATAAATGTATGTTGACTGACTGACAATTCTTTGGACCTTAGTTTCTTCACCTATGGAATGAGGGCTCTAAAGGCTCTTCCAGGTATACCGTACTATGGCTCCCAGGCCAGCACTCTGCCCACTGTCCCTGATTTACTGAGTGAACTCAAATTAATTCCCCTTTCCTCTCTGAATTTCTATACCAGTATTTTCTAAGTGTTTTCCCTCTGCCCCCATTCTTTATTGCTCCTCAATCTCTAGAATAATTCTCTTTAATGTTATGGGAGTTTGGCATGTATTGAAACCACCAAAGATGGCCCTTTCTACTATCTCCCAGAAGCAGGTTGCCCAGCACCTTCCACATGAGTGATGCTATCTTAGGTGGTTTGGTATTTACCAAACCCCCATTACACTCACATATAGGCAGATTAGGTGAATAGCTACATGGAGTGATCTGAAGGGAGCACTGAGAGAGCTCCACTGTCCCCAAAGTATCTACCCCTTTTAGGTGCCTGAAATTTTACCATTAGAAAATCATTCCTTTGGGTTAAACATTTCCCACTCTTTTAAAAGAATAGTTCCCTTGGGATGGAGAGCGCATTTGTTTGTTATTAATTACTAATATTTTGTGTTCCTGGGGTTAAGTGATGCTTTCCTCCATGCTAAGAGAGCAGAGTGAAGGTAAAAGCTTCCCAGTGGGTGTTTCTAGGCAGGTGAGTGGGCATATTATATAAAACAATAAAAGGAGACCCAGGAAGCAGAAATGGGAGAAGCTAGAAACAAACCACAGTAAAGAGAACTGAATAAAGAGTCAGGAGATTTTTAGTCCCCACTCTACTACTAACAAGCCATATGACCACCTGAGACTCAGTTTCCTCATCTGTAAAATGGGGATGATGATATTGATACTACCTTCCTAGAAGGGCTATTATAAGGAAAACTTCAGAAATGTGTTACTGTCCTCTTATCACCACCGTCCTTTCTTGTTCCCTTGGGGAGGGGGTAGTGCCTTACAGCAATTCTGCCCATGTATTTGGTTAGACCCAATCTCTTTCCAGCAGTGGCTTCTCTAGGTGGTGTTGGGGAATGACCTAGAGGTAGCCATAATGATCTTCCCAAGGCCCCCTCAATTCTCTGCCTACTCAGAAGAGAGCAAACAAACACAGATGGGACCTTCCACCCTTAAAAAGTTACCAATCCTATCCAAAGGCTGACTATGTCGGGGACAGAGAAGGAGGTAGCTGCAGAATTACCACAGCAACATGGATCGGGTCAGGCTTACCAGGAGTAGCCAGACTTGCGGGTCTATGGCTGATGCACAAAGGAAGAAAAGTAGGCTTTGCAGGCCTACGAGGTGCCTCAGGGCTTCTTGAATCCAAGCCTGATGATTTCTTGGCCTCTTCATTGCCATGTTTCTTAAAAGAAAAGGCCTTCTTGAGGTTAGACTTCTTGTCTTTCTTCTTAGAGGTTGGTTCTGGTGGTTCTGCCAATGCCTCTAGCGGTTCTGGGCCCTGAGGGAAGATATATTTCTCCTTTGACTTTTTATCTCCCCTTTCCTTGTCTTTTTTCTTGGAGGTTGGTTCTGGTGGGTCTACAAATGCCTCTAGATGTTTTGGGTCTTGAGGGTAATTGCATTTCTCCTTTGACTTTTTGTCTCCCCTTTCCTTATCTTTTTTCTTGGAGGTTGGTTCTGGTGGGTCTACAAATGCCTCTAGGTGTTTTGAGTCTTGAGGGGAATTGCATTTCTCCTTTAACTTTTTGTCTCCCCTTTCCTTGTCTTTTTCCCTAAAGGTTGGCTCCAATGGGTCTACAAATGCCTCTTGGTGTTTTGGGTCTTGAGGGGAATTGCATTTATCCTTTGACTTCTTTTCTCCCTTTTCCTTCTGTTCCTCTGACCCTGTCCTGGTCAGGAAGTTCACCAGGGTCTTTAACAACCCATGCTGGCCCTTTTTGTGGACCTTGTCCTTGTGGTTACTCCTTGGGCCACCCTGATCACTGGTGGCCCTGTTGGTTTTCTCTAGCTTTGGGGCCACAGAGACATCACCATCCAATAAGTTTGCTTGCCTATCCAAGGGTCGGACTTGTTCACTTGATGCCCGGTGAAGCGACCGTGGGTTCTGAGATTCCCCAGTTCCTGGCATCTTCTTGGAGATGTGAAATCTGTCTGGGGGATGGCCTTTTCTTCTCATCCAGAACTCTTCTGCCTTCCATGAAGCCCTTTGTTTCTGCATTCTTGTTTCAGCTACAACAAAAATAAACACCTCTTTTAAGAAAACAGAATCCTGGATAAGAGGGTACTCAGGAAAAGAAATGGATTAACCCATAACAAGAAGATAACATTGTGAATAAAAACTTCTTGAGGTGTTAACATGCCACATGCTTAGTCAAAGTGATTGAATCCTCACCTCAGTCCTTTAAAGTAGAAAGAATACATGTTGCCATTATTATCCTCATTTTACAGAAGAAGAAACTGAAGCACAGAAAGGATATGTGATGTGCCCAAGTTTAGTTAGGGACAAAATTGAAGAATAGAACCTACGACTAGATCTACCATCCCTGGTCCCATAAGGTATACCACACCACCATTTCAGTGCTTCAGACATGTGCCTGAGCTGCCACATGGTGGTTTTTTCCACTTTCTTTTGTATTTTAATTTGTTTTAAGAGAATTTTTTATTATCTTTCAGGATCAACTCATCCTTTTGGTTTCAGAATTTTCTTTTTTTGAAATATTTTTATAATATTATTTGTTGATATAGTATTATATTATATTATATATTAACACACAATACCAATATGTTAAAATAATTATTACATTTAATTACATTTAAAGACAATTTTTGACATTCATTTAAAAAAAGTTTGTATTCCAAATTTTCTCCCTACCTCCCCCTCCCTGAGGTGGTAAGCATTTGATATACATGTTCAATCATGCAAAACATATTATCATACTGCTATGTGATCTTAAGCAACTCTTTGAGCCTCAGTTTCCTCATATGTAAAACTGGCTTAATATTCTCACTACCTCCCTCAGCTCAAATGAGATAAAAGGGCCTTAGACCTAGAACTGAAAGGGACCTGAGAGTTCATTGAGTCCAACCCCCTCATTTTACAGATGAGGAAACTGAGGCTCAGAGAGGTTAAGGGACTTGCCTAAAGCCAAACAGGTATAAGCATTAGAAAAGGGACTTGAATCTAGGCTCTCTGGCTTCTGAGCCAGTTTTCTTTCCACTCTGTAGGTAACTCCTTTGATAAAGTTTACAGATAGCAATAGAATCCCAATGAGCTATCTACATAAATGTAAGTTGCATTATTGTTGTTTTTATTATGATGATATCATTGTCCCATAGTTGTTCAGTTTAATTGGTTAGAATTAATGATACCAGAGCCACAGGTTTGGTCCTCATTGGGCCTACGATGACAGACTGAGCTATTTAGCATCCATCTTGGCCACAACGGAGCTTCGAAGAGCCAGCAAGATCCCAACCCCACTGCTGGGGAAACAAGTAAAATGAATGCCCCCCCGATGACAAATCAGTAGAGGCACCATGTTTGTGCCACTGATGGTATATTTTGCCAAAGCAAACTGTCTCTGGAAGATAGTCCTTAACTGGAAACTGTCTCACATGTCCTGTCTGCTTCTCAAGGCTGTTGTTTTCTTTCAATATACATTTCATTGATGACTTTTAGATTTACGTAAGTCATTTCAACTCCCTCTTTCCTCCCTGCTCCCTTGGGACAAAGAAAAACAATTAGGCAAAAACATTCGACCCAGTGACCTCATCAGATGTTTATAATATTCTGTCCCGTTAGCCCTCTTCGGCTGCCATGGTGGGAGTGGTATGCTTTATTACCTAATCTCTGAGATCTTCATCGGTTTTCCAATTATTCATTAATCAAAATTTTGCTTCTGATACAAAATATATTGATGAGAAAGAAGGTGGATTTTTGTCCATTGGTAGAAAAATAACCAACAGGTACATCAAGTCTTAGTATCCTCATTTTACAAGTAAGGAAATTACGGATCAGTGAGGGGAAGAGATTTCCCCAAGCTAGTGGTATAGTTGGGGCTCAAGCCTAGGGCTTTCTGATTCCAAATCTAGTGTTCTTGTTTCTACCCTTTGCTGTCTCTAGAGTTGCTCAGGACCCATGGTGAGTTAGTGGCAAAGACAGGCTTAGAACCCAAACCTTCCAATTCCCCATCCAGTGTTTTTTGCCCCCTGCTGCTTATCATTGCCAGAGAAACTTTGGATCAAGGAACGCAAAACAATCAAAGAGCTCTATAGCACAAGGTCCATCCTTACTCCATGTCAGAGTTGGGAAGGCAATGGAAAGATTTGGAAACCTACCATATGCTAAGGGGGACCCAAGATGAAGGGTCTATGACCAACTGGGACATAGATTCCTAGAATATCAGAATTGTGAGGGAGCTTAGAAGTCATCTGGTGTGCTCTCAACCTCCCCATTTTATTTTATTTTATTTTTTAGGCAATTGGGGTTAAGTGACTTGCCCAGGGTCACACAGCTAGTTAGTGACAAGTATTTGGTCTGAGGTTGGATTTGAACTCAAGTCCTCCTGACTTCAGGGTCAGTGCTCTATCCACTGTACCACCTAGCTGCCCCTCAACCCCCCCATTTTACAGATAAAGAAACTAAAGTCAGGGGGGAGTGCCTGGCCCAAGATCAAAGAGCAAGTATTATTCCATGGTCATATGTCCCAACCCCAATTTCTTCCAGTTCTTTTGAAAATCATATCCTTAATCTAAGACATCTCCAAAGGTCTCATGATGGAAAATGCTATCCACATCCAAAGAAACAATTATGGAGTTTGAATGCAGATCGAAGCATACTATTTGCTATTTTTTTTCTTCTGTTGTGTTTTGTTTCCTCTTTCTGGTGGTTCCTCCTATTGGTTCTAATTCTTACTTACAACATCACTAATGTGAAAATATGTTTAATAGGAATATATATGTATAGCCTATATCAGATTGCATGCCGTCTTGGGGAGGGAGGTGGAGAGGGAGTAGGAGAAAAATTTGAAACTCAAAAGCCTAAGGAAGTAATTGTTGATAATTCAAAATAAACTAATTTTAAAAATTTTTAAAAAGAAAAGGAAATCATACCCTTAGTTGGATAGGGACAGAGTGAGAATGGATGGAAACAAATACATCCTTATTAAAGAAATGCCTGAAAGTGCACATCCTCCTAATTGCGACTTATATATATTACTTCATCTTTGTGCACAGGACTTTACATTATCATCTAGTCATTAGTCCTCTTAGAAAACAAAGGAGAAATAACAACAACACCTCCATCTTGCCTAATCTCGCAAAGCACGGGATGATCTCAGAAATCACTGAGCGCAGAAACTGAGCAGTTGACTGTAAACTGGCTATTGGGTTTGACTAACAGGTACAAGGTTCAGAATAACTCATAAGCACACAACTGAGCTTCTAGTCACATGACTTTTGATGACTGGTGAAATTCACTGGTAAACTATCAGAAAAGAGAGCAAGAAGAGTGAAAGAGAGATTCCCAAAGATACAATCTGCTATGGGGTAAGATTTGTTCCTTTCAAGCCTGCCCTATTGCTTTGACTTCTCTTATTCACTTTATATTAGCATCATCTACATAATATTTCTCTAACCTATAATAATAACAGTTCATGTTTACATATATGTACATGTATATCATTTTTGCATATGTATATACATTATATAAGTGTGTGTGTGTGTGAGTGTGTGTGTGTGTGTGTGTATGTGTGTGTGTGCATTTATATAGGCAGCTAGGTGGCACAGTGGATAGAGCTCCCAGCCTGGAGTCAGGAAGACCTGAGTTCAAAACTGGTCTCAGACATTTACTAGCTGTGTGACCATGGGCAAGTCATTTAACTCTGTTTGCCTCAGTTTCCTCATCTGTCAAATGAGCTGGAGAAGGAAATGGCAAACCACTCCAGTATCTTTGCCAAGAAAATCCCAAATGGGGTCAATGAAGAGTTAAACACAACTGAAAGGACTGAACAACAACAAGGAGGTGATGGGATAAAGAGTTGAGGAGGAATGGGGTCACTAGAGTGATCAAAGGATTATGTTTAAATAATTAAGCCCAGCCACGTGTGCTCATCATTATAATCATCAATATCATTCAGAATGTCAAAGTGGAAAGGCACCTCAGACCCCAACTACTCCAAGCCCTTCATTATGTCTTGTCCAAGTTCTTGAAGAGCTGGGACCAGAACCTGGGGTTTCTATCTACTCCAATTCCAGTACTGTCTCTACTACATAATTCCTAAGCATCACGACCATGCGAATGACAGCTCCTGTCTCTGTCACGCTAATACCTGGATCAGAAATCACAAAAATCTGAAGATTCTACTTTGCTATTTAACTATTTTTGTGAACTTGGGCAAACTACTTAGTCTCTCTGGAGCTCAGTCAGTTCCCATTGCAGAGAGAGGATTGACCCTAGAGTAAGAGGCCCAAGCTTCAATCTCACCTCTAACTCTTAATCACTTAACCTCCCTGGGCCTCACTTTCCTCACCTGGAAAATGAGGGAGTTGGACTAGATGGCCTTTGAGTTTCTTCCTAACTCCAGATCTGTGATCCTGTATCCTCACGAGCCTTTAAAACAGATGTGAGATGAAGCCCAAGGCAATGGTACCAGTGGAAAGAGATGCAGGTAAACTTTGCTTCCCATAGCTTCTAGCACTACATCTTGAAATGGGGCCAAAATATCAATCACTGGTCTTACTCGCCTAATCCTTAGTCATTGAATGGGCATTGGCTAAGACAAACAGATCTGGGAAATGACCTTGATTTAGAAAGGCCAAGGTCACCTGAGCAATCGCCAATTATCTTGACTTTTGTCCTGCCACTGGACTCCCACGACTGGAGGAGTGAGGCTGACACTTGGTGCAACTCTGCGCAAGTCAAGATATCACCCTCATGATGTCATTGTTCCTCCTCAAAAACAACCACAACCACAACAACAACGACAACAACAGTGGATTGGGGCATCACATGGGGCATTAATACATTCAGTAGTTCCCACTAAGCCAATACAGACTGGACTGCCCCAGATAAAATTGTGAAGTAGGCTAAGTCCGCCCTGCTTTTTCTTACCCTTGTCTCTGAGTCATTCTATCTTTTTAAATTTGTTGAAGTCAAAAAAATAAATAAATTTGTTGAAGTCACATAGCTATTATGTTCTTCTGTCCTCAAGTCCCTACAAACCCAGATCCTCTGACTCCAAATTCAACACTGTTTCCACTTTCCAATTAACAAATGCTTTGTAAACCCTCAAGCTCTTCATTGTGGTTATTATGCATTCTCCTCTCCTCCCCCAGCCCGCCCTCCCCCCCAACAAAATCACAAGTGAATGTCACATAATTACAAAAGAATAAATGTGGTCCCAAAGAAGACACCACCTCTCCTCACTCCTTTGTAAAGATGAGAAATATTGCATATGGTGTCAGATATTTTCAATGTATATTGATTGGTTTGGGTAATTTTTTTTTCTCTTTTTCTTGAAATATTCTCTGCTAGAACCGGTAGAATACTGTACTCAGTAACAGAAACATTGTGTGATGACCAACTCTGATAGACTTAGCCTTTCTCAGTAATGCAAGGATCTAAGACAACTCCAAAAGACTCATGATAGAAAATGCTATCCAAATCCAGAGAAAGAACTATGGAGTCTGAATGAAGATTGAAGCATACTATTTTCTCTGTCTTTTGTTGTTGTTGCTGTTTTTTCCCTTTCTCACGGTTTTTCCCTTTTGTTCTGATCCTTCTTTCATGACATGACTAATGTGGAAATATGCTTAATATGATCATACATGTATAGCCTATATCAGATTGCCTGCCGTCTTGGGGAGGGGAGAGTGGAGGGAGGGAGGAAAATTTAGAACTCAAAATCTAATAAAAGCGAATGTGGAAAACCAAAAATTGATTAATTGATTTAAAAAATAAAAAGCAAAAAATATTCTTTGCTATAAGGAATGTCTGTGAAGGGGTAGCGGAGAGATACAGGAGGAAAGCAAGGTGACATAAAAACAAAAGATACAAATAAAGTCTATTAAAATTACTTCTATAAAATTTTTTTAAATCATGGAATCTCAGAGGTAAAAGGAAATGGACAGATTATCTTGTTCAACCCATAACTGATTGAAAATTCTTTCTGCAGAGCTCAAACTCCCTTAAAGATCTCCACATTCACTATCTCCCATGCAAATCATTTCCACTCCAGATAGTTTTCCCTTTCCCAGGCAATGCAGAGAAAGTGATCTCAAAGCTTTGCTTTGTCTTATCTCCTCTCCTTGTCAATTCCAATTTTCTCATTCCCTTTCCTGGATCAGCCCTAAAACAATTATCTCATACCAGTCAAAGGAGTTCTACCTGGTTAGTCCCTTCCATACTCCACTCTCTAGGCTGCCATAGGCCTGTAACTTTAAGACAGTCATTTCTCTCTCTCTTCCTCTTTCCCTCTTTTCTCTCTCTGTCTGTTTTCTCTCCATGGAGGAAACCCTTTCTGTCAAAATAAACTCTCTGGGCTTCAGTTTCCTGCTCTGTGAAAAGAGCCTGGACTAGATTAATTTCCACATTACCTTTTTGTTTTAAATCCCATGAGCCTATGATTTCCAAATTGAGCTTACCAGGCAAGCTGAGGGTCCGTGCGATGCGTGGAGGTGTGTTCAGCAGAGCAGCTCTCCTCTCGAGTTCCAGTCTGATCAGGTTAGGTCAGCTAACCCAGCTGACTCAAGGGTTCAATGTTGCTAACAGTGCCCAGGCTAACTTCTTATATAGGAAATTACTCCAGACCTGAGATATGAATCTATTTATAGAATCATGTTTGTAGACAGCTAAATCCATGGGCAGGTGATAGTTAAGCTTGTTTGAGAACAGTTTCGCTTTAACTTCCTCATTGCCTTCAAATCAGATAAGGAACTAATTGGCCAATTGGAATAATCACTTGTCTGAATGTGAGATAAAGGACCAGTGGTAAACAAATGCTTCTTGGAAATACATTTAGGAGCAAGAAACAAAGGGGATTTTTGCTCATGACCAATAGATGTAGTCCATGACCCAAACTCTAGACCAGAAAGGACCTGAGCAGAAGTGGGGAACCTGCAGCCTCGAGGCCACACGTGGCCCTCTAGGTCTTCAAGTGCGGCGCTTTGACTGAATCCAAACTTCATAGAGCAAATCCCCTTAGTAAAAAGATTTGTTGTATAAAACTTGAACTCAGTCAAAAGGCTGCACCCGCGAACCTGGAAGGCCACATGTGGCCTCAAGGCTGCAGGTTCCCTTCCCTGGATCAGGCCTAGAACAATTATCTTACACCAGGCAAAGGAGTTCTACCTGGTTAGTCCCTTCTATACCCCACTCTCTAGGCTGCCATAGGCCTGTAACCTTAAGAAAGTCATTTTCTCTCTCTCTTCCCCTCTCCCTCTTTTCTCTCTCTGTCTGTTTTCTCTCTGTCTCTGTCTCTCTCTGTGTCTCTGTCCCTGTCACTTTCTGTGTCTCTGTCTCTGTTTCTCTGTCTTTGTCTCTCTGTTTGTCTCTGTCACACCCCCGGACCAGAGTATTAGGAAGTTGAACCTGCTGAAAGCCAGATATTGTTAATAGAGAACTGATTGTGGAGTAAGATCAGATCCCTTCCCATCTGTGTGGTGCAGTAGATAGAACACGGCCCTAGAGTGAGGAGGACATGAGTTCAAATCCAACCTCACACATTTACAAGCTGTGTGACCTGAGGCAAGTCACTTAACCCTGTTTGCCTCAGTTTCCTTCTCTGTCAAATGGGAATAATAAGAGCACTTACCTCCCAGGGTTGTTATGAGGTTCAAATGAGATATTTCTAAAGTGCTTTGTAAACCTTAGAGTACTATATAAATGCTATCATTAACCTTTTCTCCACCCTGAAGATCAGCACAACCTCCTTCAGTATGCCAGACTCAGACTCCTCTTCCCTTATGCCTAGACAGGAAGATTTCATCTATTGACTTCTTATTTAATAAGTTCCTATCTTTGCACCTTGAACATAGTCGAGGCTTAACAAATGTTTGCCAACTTGGATTGTAAAGCTATCAGGACACTTCGGATTAAAATGAGCAAGGGTGATCCTGTAGAAGAGTTGAGAAAACGTAGCTTCCTTTCCTCTCCGCAGAGGTGGGGGACTATGGCTATGGAATATTGCAGGTAATCTCAGCCACGGTCAGGGCGTTTAGTTGATTTTGTTGGACTGCTTTTTATTGGCTATCTTTTAAAATTTTTGTTACATGGGTAGTAGAAGAGGGAGGGATATATTTGGAAATGAAATGAAGTTATATAAAAACTAAGTTCAGTCATTTTTTAGTCAAATCCAACTCTCTGAGACCTCATTAGGGGTTTTCTTGGCAAAGATACTGGAATGGTTTGCCATTTCCTTCTCCAGCTCATTTGACAGAGGAAGAAACTGAGGCAAACAGGGTAAAGTGACTTGCCCAGGGTCACACAGCTAGTAAGTGTTTAAGATCAGACTTGAACTCTGGAAGAGGAGTCTTCCTGACTCCAGGCCCAGCACTCTATGCACCATGGAGTCACCTAGCTGTCCAACTGTGCCATCTAGCTGCCCTATTAAAAGTAATGTTATCAATAAAAACAAAATATTCAAAGGAAAAAGAAAAGCCATGAAGGTCTCCCCATCATCCATTCCAGTGCCTCACAAATTTTTATCCAGGAAGTTCCTAGACATGGTCAAGGAATCCCAGATGTGGAGCTCAAAGGAGCCTTCAAGAGAATGTGGTCCAACTCTTTACTTTGCAGAGGACAAAACCAAGGTCCAAAGAAGTTAACTTGCACAGTGTCGTATTATAGTAAGTAGAAGAGCTGGGATTTGAACCCAGGACTTCTTTTTTTTTTAAGGTAATTGGGGTTAAGTGACTTGCCCAGGGTCATACAGCTAGTAAGTGACAAGTGTTTGGTCTGAGGCTGGATTTGAACTCAGGTTCTCCTGACTTCAGGGCTGGTACTCTATCCACTGCACCACCTAGCTGCTCCCTTTTTTTTTTTGTTTGTTTTTTTGAACCCAGGACTTCTGACACAAAAAGCCCTTCCTATGGGTTTCTAATAATAATAGTAATAATAATAATAATAACTAACACTTTTATAGCATTTTAAGGTTTGTTAAACGCTTTACAAATATTATCTTATTTTTTCCTCACAATGACCACAGGGGCCAAGTGATGCTATTATCTCCATTTAACAGATGAGGAAACTGAGGCACATAGGAGTTATGTGACTTGCCTAGAGACATACAGCTAACAAGTGCATAAGACAGGATTTAAACTCAGGTCATCTTGATCCTAGTTCCAGGACTCTATCTACTCAATCTGTTGGACTTGCAATTTATTTCAATTCATGTGTGCACATGCACACACGCTCCCGCACATACACACACATATTAGATTGTAAGCTCCTTGAGGGAAGGGATTGTCTTTTGCATCTTTTTGTATTCCCACTGCTTAACACAGTGCCTGGCACATAGTACACGCTTAATAAATGTTTATTCAATGAAATGAATGAACATACAACCATATACTAACCCCTACTTAGGATAACAGAATTTAACTCAGTGTAGAGCAAAGAGCCCTAGGCTGGGAGACAGGAGACCTGGATTTGAACCCCAGCTCTGCCATTACTTTTAGCATCCATGGGAGAAGATTGTGGGAGAAAAGAGTAGGGGAAGTGAGAATGAGATAAATAAAAGAAAATCAGGAAGGGGATTTAAAGGGATTTGGATTTGTGAAGAAGGCCAGAGGTAGAATTTTGAGAGGAGAAATTCAAGAGAAATTAAGGACATTTTGAAGGAGAACAATTTTCGGTTCAGATTCTACTTTTAACTTCCATGTTCAGGAAAAGAAAATTGAAAGAGCAGAGGATTAAAGGGAAGGACTAAAGCAGAAGAAAGGTGTTAGAGTGGATGGTAATGTACAATAAGGAAGAAAAGGTAAATAAAGTAAATTTTTAAGCAAAATAAATTGGTGAGAAAAATGAGAGGTTAGTACAAAAAGAGAAGGGTAGTAGAATGGGCATTCTAGACAAGGAAAGGAAGATGGCATAGATACCAAACTATTCAGAGGTGATCAATAAAAGGTTTTGAAAGTCTAGAAAGTGAGACCCTCAGGAAGTTAGAAAATAAAAAACCAAGATTATGAATCTCAATCACTATAAAGAGTAAGATAAATTTCACAGTGACTTGCATTGAATAGACAATATTTGTATGCTGCCATAGCACAGTGACTGCTGTATATGTTCCAAATGTAGGTGCATTTCCTTCTTAGAAGAGGTGACCAGACCTGAGGGACACCTTTCCATGCATCAAGTTATCAGGGACAAGAAAGTGTCCCTTTTTTTTTAAGATTTTAAATTTATTTTAAACTTAAGTACAAAATAAGAAAAGAAAAAAATTCCCACATATACGGAAGAACATAGGAGAGGATTCAATATAAAGCAATAAATTTCCATTTCAAGAAAACCTATATAATAAATACTACACATTGTTTTCAAAGCTGTCCAGCTTTTCTTTGCCTCCTTGTAGATTTTCTTTTATTTTCCACTGTTCTCTTTTTACTTCATTTTTCTCCTCCCTTCCCCCAAAGAAGACTACAATTAAGTACATATATATATAATGTTATATGAAACATATACATAGATATCAATAGACATACACACACACACATATATATATAAATATATATATACATATAAGACTGTATTATGTTTATTTCTACTTGTCATCTGTTTCTCTGAAGGTGGATAGCATCTTCTTTCATAATCCTAAATCTTTCCATGTTTTTCTGAATCAACCAACTCATCATTTCCTACCCAACAGCAATATTCCAACCCAAACCCATTCTATTTGAGAGACTGTCCATGAAAATTTTTTCCCAATTTTCTGCATTCCTTCTATTTTTGGTTGCATAGTTTTATTTATACAAGAAAATTTTAATTTAAAATTATCAAAATTATTCATTTTAAACTTCCACAATGCTCTCACCTTGTAATATGGTTTAAGGTGTGATACTACTGGTTCTGATTCTCTTACATCTTTTTTTCCCCTGGTTTCTTTGAAGTTCCTGACTTTTATTCTTCTAAATGAACTTTGTTATTATTTTTTCTAAGTCAGATAATTTAAAAAATAATTTAATTGGGATGGTATTACATAAATAGATTAGTTAAGTAAAGTTGTCATTTTTTTATTATATTGGCTTTACCTACCCATGAACAATAAATATTACTTCAGTTATTTAGATCTAATTTTTATTTGTATAAAAAGTGTTTTATATTTATATTCATATAGTTCTTGTGTCTATTTTGGCAGGCATACTCTCAGGTATTTTATACTGTCTAGTTATTTTAAATGGCCTAAAACAATGTTGAATAACATGGCTGACACATAGTAGTTTCCTTGTTTTTCTCTTTTGATTAAATCTATTTTAGCTTTAACTTTGTGTGAAATCATGATTATGACCCCTGATTTTTATATAATAAATTCTACTCCTGCCCTCAATTTTGTTTGTGTGTACCTCTCATTTTTATAGCATTTCCTGAAAGCAACATATTGCTGAATTCAAATTTTCCATTTTATGGGTAAATTCATCCCATTCACATTACAAGCTATAATTATTTGTTGTATATTTTTCTCTTTCCTGTTTTTCCTCACTATCCTTCTCACCCTATTCCTATCCCCCCTCACTCCTCTGCTTTACTTCTACTCATTAGCTTGTCCTCTTATTTCTTAATCTACACACCCCTCCAAGAATCCTTCCCTTATCCTGTCCCCCAATCCTATCTCCTTGCCTTCTTATTTCCTTCTAAATATAGAAGATTATACCC